TTTTCGCATGACTGTACAATGATATTTATTATGTCGAAATAATTATTTTTTTATGTATTATATTATAATCTATAAATAGATCAAAGATGAATAAAAAAATACATTTTAATTTATTTATTCATCTTTGTAATTGTATATAAACTCAAACAATAATACACTACAATAACAAAAGATGTCGACGCAATTACAACCATTCTTTCTAATGAATGTTTTCCTTCATTTGAAAACAAAAGAAGATGTTGTCAATTTTATATCAGTTAACAAAACACTTCTATCTGTATCGTATTCTGTTCATGTTAATCCGAGGTTTTTTTCCCTTGAAACCATCATTTGGTTCATAAAACATTTCTCGCCGTCAACAATCAATTTTAATTACCTACAAGTTGAAAATTGGGATGTTTTCGATTCAAAACTTGATGAAGTGAGTTTTTTCAGAAATGTCGAAATAGATTCAAAATTTCCAATTAAATATTTAGAAAAGGTAAAAAGTTGTCTCATGTTCAATTCTAAATATTATTCTAAATTTTTCACATTTGAATTATTCAAAAATTTAAAAACAATAGAAATTGAAGATGTAATGTTTCCAACGTTATTTAAGTGTTTTGAAACACTTGAACTGACTTGTGGCAATTTTCCAAAGCAAATTATTTTATTTGACGAATACTTTACCAATGTTTTTGATTGTAAAAATCGTATTCATCCAATTCAATTTAAAAACTATACCGAAAATATGACAAACGAAATTCAATCGATAATAAGTCTTGCAAAAAAGAAGTTTGACGTTACTTTTTACACCGACAAGTGTTATAAAATGGGCAAATACAAGAAAGCACTTATTAATAATATTACTAGTGTAAAAGTGTATACCACGTTAATTAGTGATTTAAAATTCGACATGAAAGACAATGCTAATGCATTAAAAAGAAACATTTCATTGATATTTACAAAAGTACCAAGTAAGGAAGAAATTGAAACGCTTAATGTTATAATGTATAAAGCACTTTTAAATTGTGTATACGTTGCAACAGAACGATTTATCGATATCAAAGTGTTTGACTTAACTCAACTTAATTTAGAAAGCATTGATTCTGCAATTATTAATAATATACACACGGAATTCATTTTGGGAAACAAATTGCCACAAAATGTTGGAATTTTCGGTACATTTAAAACACAAAAAAGTATTCTTTGTAAAAATGTTAAAACATTTGCAATAACAAATGAAATAAAGCAAAATCTACAATTGAGACGACAACAAAGACAAAGACAACAACAACAACAATTACCACAATATACCAAAATGACAACATTTCCTTATAATTTGGTGGAGTGTGTTTCGATGCGAATTGTTTCTCTTACGAGTTTTAAATGTGATTTTTCAATGAATGAAAACTTGAAAAGTGTCGAACTTTCTAAAGTCACAAATATTGAAATGACATTTTCAAAAAGTTTAAACGAGTTCGGAACACATGAGATATCAGACGCAACGTTTACTTTTATATCAGAAGGAATTCAACACATTTTATTAGAAAACTCAAAAAACGTTGTCATGAATTTTGCTGACAATTCTGATAACACAGAAGTGACTCTATTTATGGCTTCAAATGTGACTATTAACACAAAGAAAATTGGGAAATTGCAAATTACGAAAGGTAATATCATTATCAAACAAAACATGTCTTGTAAAACGTTAATATTCAACAACGTGTTGTATAAAGATGTACAATTTTCATTGTTACCAAATGACACAAAATATATGAAATGTTATTCAAAACAAAGTCGAATCAATATGCATCAAGGTGTCGTCTTTAAAACAATTAATTTAAATTTAAAAACAATAAATAACAATGACAATAAAGTTAAAGTCGTTGAAATATGCCGAACAGATCGTAATGTTAATAAGATAATACCAACATCATTCGCGATGTATGTGAGCGACGAGTCTCAAATTCAGTTTTTCAATGTTGATGAAATAAATAGCACTTTTCAATGTCGTCACATTACTGAACAAATTGGAAAAGACATTGCAAAAAACAATTTCATATACACAACAAACTGGGTATATACCATTGTCATTATGAATAATGTGTTCTCTTTATTTAAAATCAATACAACATTTGAACTCATCACGTCAAAAGACATTTCTCATTATGTTAAGAATGCGACTATTGTTGAAGTGTTTCCGTATAACATCAATTTGGTACTTGTTGCAAACAAATATGGAAATTTGTGTGTTTTCATTATTAAAAATGACAAAATTGAACCAGTGATTTGTCCAATCAATTTTTATAATAAAATCGTCAAAATTCTCTTCGTAAACGTTAAGAGGATGGGTGAAAGGAGGTTTTTTATTGTCTATGAAAATGGTGCAGTCACTGAAATGATATATTATGACACGTCCAACACAAACGATAGAATTGAAAAGGTTAAAGATATTCATGAGGGAAATTGTAATATCGTGAAAGACGCACATTTTGATGAAGACAACCAACTATTATATTTAATCAGTCAAACTTGTGTTGAAATTGTTAATGTGGAAACCAATGAAAAAACTTTCATTCAAATGGATAACATCATTTCATCGTGTTTAATAAATAACAACGGCATTATAGTGATAACTGATAATGTTAAAGTGTTTAACATCGAGAAGAACACAATACAAGAAATAAACTTATTGAATATTCATGGCAAACTGATTAGTGTTGCTTATGACGAAAATCAAAATTTATTTTTTGGAACTTCATAAATGAAATATTTTATTGTTTTCGGGTTACTATCGAATAATTATTCTTAATTGATTCCAGTCAAATACAGTGAAATTAAAGAATAATTTGTCGTAAATCTGTTTTTATTTGTTCGATATTTTTTGAATTTTTAATATTTGTCGTTTATTTTTTTTAAAATTTATTTTTCTTTGTTTTTTAACTTATAGCTGTTCGGCGACTTTATAGTCCCTTTGAAAATTGCCGACTTTTCAGTGGTCTTAAAAGTCGCTGACCTAAATATTTAGTTAAATAACTCTTCAAAATACCATTTATCATGTAAAAGGAATTGAAAAAATAAACCATATAAATTTAATATAATTATTATTAAAAAAAGAAATGAAACAATACCGTCTTAATTATATCTTCTCAAATCATTTTTAAATTATATTTATATGATTATAATATAACAAATTATAACAACTATTGTGTTTTTACACATTTTTAAGACTATAATGAATATGGTATAATTTATTAAAGTTAATAGTTATTTAGTTCTAAAAGAAGTCGGCGACTTTTGAAGGGACTCAAAAAGTCGCTGACTTCTAAGTAATATCAAAAGTCGCCGAACAGCCATAAGTGGTTTCCATCACCACCACCTCTGAAAATCGACCATTTTTACTATTTGATAAATTATTCATATTATAATTATAGTAAATAGGAATATTACTTAATATTTGGTCTGGTTCCCAAATTGAATATGTGCCGAACATTCACCTCGAGTCTGTGGATACCGAGTGAGACGGAACATAAAAAGGCTTATAAAGACGCACCTAAACAGTCTGTTTGTGCACCCATTCCACCAACTTTCAATTCCTCCCTTGGCGTGGATCCCTTCTGAACCCCCATAAGCGTGTGGAACCACATCCGCGTCCATGTAGTACAGACAAGGAATGTGAATTACATGGGGCGCACAAACAGTAGCCGAGATGCAGACTTCATTTAAAAAACACTTGCGGCAAATATTATTTTGGTAAAGGTGGTAGTCATTGTAGGTTTTTGTTTTTTTCGTTACTAGCAATGTAATAATAAATCTTTATTAATCAGAAATAAAAATGTGTTGTTTATTTTTAAATACATACTACTATTATATCTAGTTTATTATCTGTAAGGTCTATAACTAACTTCAAAAAATCGTTTAATCGACAAGAATAATTTTGGGTGGAATATAACAAGAATTGTTATATATGGCATAATATGAAGGATAACCTTTTATTTGTTTGCCAGTAAAACACTCAACACAATTTCCATCATATGACTTTGTTTTACAATAATCTTCAACAACACATTTACCATTATCAAGGATACCATACTCACATACAACACACTTATGATTTTCATTGTAAGATGCACAATTAGGTACATCTCTTGTATCATATATACTACATTCAGTTGCTTTATTGATACATCCATATTTACACTTTTCATCACATTTTTCACAAGTATAATTATTGGTCAAAGCATATCCTATGTTACAAATAATGCATACTGATCTTATAATATCATAATCACGACAATTGTCATTAATGAAACACTCTTTTCTCGTTCTTTTTGGGCATATTTGCAATTACTACATTGTCGACATTTTTCATTGGTATTAAATAGTGTGCAAGAGTCATTTTTGCATTTTACACATTTTGAGTCATTTGAGTCCAAATAATAATCGAGTTTGCAACGAGTACAAACAGTCGAGATGTTTCTATCAAAGTAGGTATCACTTTCAGTGTCAATACCAGCTTGTTCACAAAAACCAACAATACTCTTTTCACATTTTCCATCATTTGTTCTGTAAAACCCACTCGTACAAATGTTACAACTCGTTGTATAATTTACATATAACAATACAAGAAACACAAACTCCAATTTCATTTGAATACATTCCATCTACACACGTCGAGCATTTTGTATAATTTGCATAACAAGAAGTGCAATTTTCGTTGGTTGTACATACACTGCAATTAACACCATTAAGCCCATACCCAGGCATACAACGTACACACCTAGTCGCAACTCGGTTTGTTTTTTGACAAAACGGCAAATTTACACATTTACCGTTAAGTATAAACAAACCTTCATTACATTTTGCACAAACAGTGGCATTATCGTACACAACACAATCAGATATGTCACCTCTTTTACATTCATCATTTTCTAAATAAAATCCATCAATACAACTTTTGCAATTAATTGAATTTTTATTGGTATATGCACAATTGGGTACAATTGTACACGTTTCATTAGCAATTATTTTATACCCATTTCTACAAACACGACATCTACTACAGTCTTCTGTGTCCATTTGTAAACAATTTGGATTTGTGGCAATACAATCTATACACATGTTGTTTTTGGTATATACAGTCAGGTTGTTGTAACATTGATAACACAAAACATTGTTTGACACGGCATTATAATATAATTTACACAGCTCTTTACCCATTGTGCATGTTTTGGTTGAGAAGTCAAACATATATCCATCTGTACATTTTAAACACATATTATAAAAAGGTATTCGCATTTTTTGTCTCGCCCAAAGTCACATGTTCCCTCGGAATTTAGAAGATAACTTGTTACACATCTTTTACATTTGTCTTCAGAATCTTTAAATGAAGCGCAAAAAGACATCGTGCAATTATAAACAGCAAAAGACAGCGTTAATAGAAATATAAAAATCATATATTTTAAGATGTTGTTTTAAATAATTTTTATATGTACAGTATAAAGAATTATTTGGTTTGTTAGAACTAATTTATCCAAACCTTTAAATATTTAAATTTATTAAATTTTATTTCACTAAAAACATTTATCAGATTTATCCAGATTGGACTTTTTTATTTTTATAATGATTTTAGTAAAACATAAAATTCGACCAAAGTTTATGTTTAATATATAATCCAAAAATGACCATAAGTTTTATTGTGACTAGTTATTATTCTAATAAAATGGGACATTACAATCTAGTGAATAAAAAAGCTCTAAACACAAGGAAATAATTACTAATCATCAATTTTATTGATTATGCAATTGACACCTCCTTATGAAGAATAAAAAACACCAGCCAAACAGAACTATACTAAATCCTATTAAACAATTCATTAAGATTTTGAGACAAATTTATTCGAGTTAAAAACCCAAATTTTTTACATATTACATAATGTATCTTACGATCATAATACATCTTTGTTTGTTATAACATTATTTCTTTCACATGATGACTGATTCAATTTAACAGAAGATCAAATGGGTGACGAGCCCATTTTAACAATTACTCAATTTTAGGCATTAACTTGACGATGTTTGAAAGTTAAAATTGTTGTTTTAAAATTATTGCCGATTAATTTTGCATTTCAGTTTATGGATTGTGTTTTATTGGCTATGTAATTAACTAGAATAATTATATGGTAACTTATAATTTAGAATTTTTATGTTTTTTTTAATTTTAGATTTTAATTTAAAAAACAATTGTTAAATAATTGTAATTGACTCTATAAAGGCAGCACTAGCAAAATAACATTGCCTCGTATTTGTATTTGAAAAATAAATTCAGTTGAATGTTATTTTAATTATATTATTATTTGTTAAAAGTATTAAATTGTAAGTCTTTTAAAAGAAAAAAAATAGTAAAATTTTTATTTTTTTAACAACAATTTATATCAAATTATAAACCACATCACAAATTTAAAAAACAATTTCACATGATAAAAATATTTATTTGTAAGTAAAAAAGATCACCTGTTTGACATTTTGGATGTCTTCCATGTGTATTTCTGTTCTATGATAAGGTTTAAAATAATTGTCAAAACTGTCGTCAAACTCTACATTTTTATTGACACTGGTTGTATTAATATAAAACAAAGAATGGAAATTTAACATGATTGATTTTTCTTGAATTGAACAATCAAACGCATTGATGTCTTCTTTATTTTTTGTGTTTTTAAGAACCCACATTGCGTTAACAACATTTCCATTTTTAAAAATTTGGACGATTGAATATTTTTCACACAAACTCCATTGTTTTTTGTATGTAGAAAGGTTCCCAATGTGAATAATATACAAATTGTTTTTTGTTAGAACACCACAAACAACGTTGTTTGAGTTAAGAAGTTTATTATAATCGATTTTGAATGCATTATAACTATTTCCATCTCCAATAACCAATGAACATATTTTGGTCACTTTAGAAATGTTTTTGTTGATGTATCTCAAAAGTGGCCGAGTGTTTAAAAAAACTTTCGAGACATCATGGAAATTTGTATCAATTTCTTTGTAAGTTATATTTATTGTTTGATACACTTCAGAATCACTTTCATCATATTTATCATAGTGTTTTATGCTTTCTTTTGAAATTTCATCACTTTCAACTTCTTTTTCTATGTCCGAATAATTCTCTAATGATTTATCATCTTCTAATATATTCACATTAACATCTTGTTTATTATAAAAAACACTGTTTTCATTTGGTGTTTCATATGTATTCGTTTTGTTTTCTTCTTTTAGGAAATGTAACTGTGATGATGAAGTTGTATGCTTACTTTTTTCGTTGAATAAAGTAGGATCATCAAATGGAAACATTCTTAAATCAATATTCTTATCATCAAAAAATTGTATAATTTCGAGACATTTATCATATAGAACACTTAAATACAATTCAGACAACGTTAAAGTGTGAATTTCTGTATTAATAGAGTCCAGACAATTTTTAACACACCCCAAAATTTTTTCTAAAGGTTGTTTTTCAAAAACCGTTCTATTGTTGTCATCAGTATCTGTAATACAATCACCATCACATTGAGGAGTGCCACAATTTTGATGGACAATTGGTGAAATCGGTGTCAAAGTTGTAATGTGTGATGTTTTTGGTTCTGAGAGTGTTGGACTATGACATGTTTGTAGCGACAAGACTTGACTTAAATATATTTTTTCGTTTGGAAAAACTAAAGGTTGTTGTTTTTGGTCTTTTGTAGTGTTCAAAACAAATGGTATGTAATCACTTGAAGATCGATTTGGAATGTTTGTTTTCACTGCGACGGTGTTATAAACTGGTGGTTTAGGTATGGGTTTTGACACTATTTGGGTAGGTTCATTTTGAATGTATTGTAATTGTATTCGTTGATTGAACGAAACAGGGGAAATTTTCATTTGAATAATTAGATCCAACGAAATAGGTCATTTAATGAAAACAAAAATTATAATAATAATTTAGTCATTAATTTAAAAACCATAAAAGTTCATTGTTAATTTTCACAATCAAGTTTGATAAATGAAGTTAAGACAATTATAAATATCATTATAAATAAATATTATTAATTATTTTTTTACTAATCAGTTTATTTCAAATAAATCATTACATTATTTTGTAATTTATTTGGTGTATTTTTTATTTTTTGTTGTCTTTAAATTTTAATAAACAATATTCTTTTTATTGTTGTTAAAAACGAATACTTTTTATACAATTCTCTATAATTTGGTTGGTTAATAATCAATTATTTTGCATTGGAAACATTGTTTTATTTATACAATATTAATGTTAATTGGGTCTTTGATCAATTTTGAATTGTTTTCAAAGTAGTGTGTGATGGCTTTGTTTTGTTGTTGTGATATATTACGTTTTTGAATATTATTTTTTTCGTATTGATACATAAGCATGTTTTTCTATTTTAATATCAACACAAATTTTAATTTAATTCAATCAATGAACGCTAATATAAATCTGTTTTTACTTGCAACTATTGTTATTTGTTACTTTTTGTAAACAAAATTTTTTACGTTTGACTTATCCAATATGCGGCTTTTATAATTTATTTTTGTTTTTATAAACATTTTTTATATTCTTTCTTTTGTAATTTTTGTTCTGTTTTGCTAACTTGATTTTTTATATCAGATAAATTTCCACAAAATAAATTTTTGGTATAAAATAGTGTTGTCGAAACACTCCCCGAATATTCCAGGAAATTATTTGGGGAATTTTATTTTTTTTATCAAATTCCCGAACCGATTCCGGAATCAAAAAATATTCCGGAATATTTTTAACCTCGGTTCGGGAACATCCTGATTCCCAAACTTAAAATTGGTGTGTTCCCGAACCAATAAGTTCCCGAACACACAAGTTCCCGAACTTCATAAAAAAAATATTCCCAAACTTTTGATTCCGGAACATGACGGTTCCCGAACCGATTCCGGAATCACCAGTATTATATTAAAAATTTATTAATAAGCAAACTAAAAAAATAACAACTTTATTTTAATATTAAAATAGTAAAAAAATTAAATTATTCAAAAAACAATTGAATAATATTTGTCCAACCATAAAAAACTTGTACAGTCACAAACCGTACTTAAATGTTTTTAATTATTGTTCATTTTAAAACGTTAAACAAATTTAATAATTATACACCAATAAGAACCAAATAAAAATAATAAAAATAATCAATTTTTAATTTACACATAACTATTTCAACCATCTATTTTTTCTTGGCTATTATATTATGTTAATATAAATAAATACTCTGTTTGTTTTTATATAATAATATTATAATAATCATTTCAAATATATTGTTGATTTTTAAACCAAATTGGATTGTTATAATACCCATTTTGTTTTTAAAATTATTAATAATATCCAAAATGCAATTTATTGACATTGAATCAAACTATTCAATGATGTTTTAAACGTTGTCTGGTTGACTAAATTACATTTATAACGTTTAAACAAAATTTATGTAAAAAATCAAAAACTTTAAATATAAATGAAACTTTAATATAGTGGTATTTTGAAAAAATTTTATAAATATTCACATTTTAATAAAAATTACAATCAAAGTTATAAATGTACAACATTTTGTATGTTTACTTTATGTTTTTTCAATTGATGAATAAAATGAATTTGTTTAATATCTATATCTATATATATATATTACACAATAAACGTTTTATCATTTTGTTGATTGTCATAGTTTTTTAAAATTACAATTCTAATTACCCACGTCATTTTTTTATAACCAAAATGTTTATTTCTTTTGTTAATCCGTACGTTACAATACCACAATTTCTGCGATAATTATTTTTAGAAACTAATGTTAATAATTATCGGTTTCATTTATTTATTCAATAAAAATAAAAATAAATATTTAAAAGTTTCATATAATAAAAATGATTTTTGATAATTGTTCATTAGAAATACACAAAAAATATGAATATTATTTGTAATATAATTTGTTTTTACTCATTTAAAAAATCTTTCGTTTTTTTATTTTAAAATAATTTATTGATATTTTTTCAATATCAATAAATTGTTCAAAAATAATCATTTTAAATTGAATAAATTTTAATAAATTGTTTATTCTTCAGTTGTTACACAAATCAATTTTAAACATTGATATCAAAATTTGTCAGGTCGAATTGTTTAATTATTAAAATAGACATAGTGTTTAATAATGATATTTATTGTGTTTGTTTTAGATATTTCTATTTTATAAGTAGAATTTTTAATAACATTGG